TCCTTGTCAAGGTTTTATTTGGTAATCTAGCTTGCTCCGTGTGAGAGGCAACAGCCTTTAAAACAAGCTTTAACTCTTATTAATCTGTAAATTGCCGTGTGACATATATGTGTATACAATATAGGTGTGCCACGGCTTCCTGGTCTTTAACCAAATGTTTCATGTCCTACATTTTAAACATTAAATGCTGAGAAAAAAAATGGCAAAGACAGATAGTTCTTTCGTCTTCTGGATTAGGTCACAGAACCAGGCTAATACCTAGAATGTAGAAAAATAGATGTTTGTCATGTAATGTGTCAAAATTGTAATAGTAAATGGCCCACTCACATAGAGGTCCTGGTTTTTGTGTATCCCATGGACTTTTAAACTGATATTCACTAGTGTCTTGTGTTTGTTGTTCCTGCTTCTACTGCTCTGTTTTTTATTCTAGAATTTGCCTCCTTGTAGCACGCCCCAAGTCTTTGCTTTTTCCTCCATAATCTTGCTCCCGCGTTTCCAAATCCTGTGCCATATGATTGGTGAAATACAGAGTCATTAGCAAACCTGGCAGGGCCTGCCGTGAAAGAGAGAAAGAGAGAGCGCGTTCTCCCTAGCTCCCTAAGTAAAGTAGGTTATGAAGAACCTCAAAACAATAAAAATATTGTTGAAATTGGTGAGCATTATAAAAAGAAATCTGAGTACTTGTTCAAAGCACTAATCCATTTGTACCATCTGAATTTATAGTCCCTAAGTGCTTCCTTTCTGTGAATATTCTGGTGATAAATTTTAGTGGACTATTCATAGCAATAATAAATAGCAGATGATGGAGAATATTAGTGGAATATTCATATTCCTGTTTGTGATCATTTACACTAGAGACCTGACTCTAAATAATGCCTTTGTGCTTGCAGGGAACTAAAGCCTGTCATTTTACCTGTGTGTTCACTCAAGATAAAATAGATTTCAATCCCCCAAATTAATCAGATACTGATGTTTGATGAAAAATATTTGGAAAATCATCTAAAAAAAGAAACCCTCTTTCTGCAAAGATTTTGCAGACAGAAAATATTTTTCACTGTTAATTTTAACTTCTCTTTCCAGCCGTACATCTGAATGAAGCAAGAGAGGAGTTTCTTTAGGGAATGACTACTGCAGCTATTCCAGTAATTGCAAATGAAGTGTTTCCTGTCCAAAGGCAGTGAGTCTTGACATGCCCGGTTATGAATTTGTGTACCTTTGAAGGATAGGCAAACGCTGATCTTTGTGATAACAGTAGGTGTGGGGTTATGTAATAACAATTTCCTCAACATTTAAAGGTGTATTAATACAGTTGATTGAAATGTCCCATAGATTGAAAGAAACTTTCACATTTCAAGGCTTCTTTCTGGTTAGCAAAAAAAAAAAAAAAAAAAAAAAAAAAAGATAAGCAAAGAAATTAGAGGGAAATTACTATATCAAAGGGGAGGCAAATTCAAAAGAAACAAAGGTAGCCTTGCCAAGCATAAAAGTGCAAAGTGATGTCTATATTGTGCAAAATTTAAATCCCAGTCCTACTTTGGAGAAACTGTGAACAGGCTTGTCCTAGTCTGATTTGTGCAGAGCCCAGATTTATTCATTACTAATATCGGATATACTTAGATAACCAGAATAAACTACAAATTTTAAACTAGGTACTGCCTTTGATGTAGACAACATCATTCATGACCGGACATTCAACCTATGTGTGCTTCATATAGTCTGCTAAAAATCTCTAACTTAGTTTATATTCCCGATGGAGCTAAATGATTCTGCCTCTTCTCATGATACCTGCACATTTATGAGAAGTTCAAGCTTCTCAGTGTTTTCAATAACTTAGAGAAACCACATTTCTCTATATATGATCTCAGAAACCTTCCTATGTATGGACACAGTAATTGATATTAACCAAGAGAAAGCAAAAGGAAAATGCCAGTCTATATGCTTTGTACTATGCACAAGAAAGATCTGAAAGGATTTTTGTTTTTCATTGCTGGGAAATTTTAAGATTTCCAGGCTTCTAGAATGGTTCAATGCAATTTCTACTAACAGAGTTTCAATATGTTGTTTTGTTTTGTTTTTCTTAATGGAGAGAATAAAGAGTTTGCCAGAAAACACAGATTTAACAAACCTGTCCTCAGACCACACATAAACTCCAGAGTGGCTTTAAATTAGGGGCATGTGCAAGCTGAAGACCTACCTTTGGAGAACTGTCCGTGCAAACCATTCTGACCAGCGCTTGAGTCTATACTGACTTGTGCTCCATACCGTGGAGTGGCCTTGGTTCCCCAAACAAGCAGTACGGACTGGTTGGTGTCTTTGCTTTCAGAACAAGGGCCCTCTGGAGCAGAGGGGTCCCCTGACTACCAAATAGAGTCATTATCGTAGCTAACTAGTTATAACAACTTCATGAGTCTCAGAGGAAAAATTCTAGCTGGTAAATACTTGTATTTATTTATTTATTTATGTTTCCAAAAGCTAGAAGAGAATAGAAAGTCACCTTTCTCCCAAGCAGTGGGTTGAGAACCTAGATAAAACAAATAAAGTGCACAGGACTCTGCAGCTTTCCTTCAACGCTCCAGATAACTTTTCCTTTCGAGCAAATAGCTTGTTGCATATCTAATTATTCACATGTATTCAACATCCTGAATCCTGATTTCCTCTCATTCAAAGTGAGACAAAGTAGACACTTTCACTTTGGAGGCAATGACTTGCTTTGTTTTACCCACTTGGCAGAATGCTTCTGATTTTATAGCCACAGAAAGAGACCCACGGTACAAGTATAGATGGGAAAAATTTATTAGGTGGGTCACTAGATAGATCCTGTAAAGATGTGGGTCTGCATCAGTCAGAATTACAGAATCTGAAAGAAATTATGAGACATCTAAGACAGAATTTGTATCACTGTCTTGCATCTCTCTGTTATACAGGAGCCATTACATAGGAGTCCTGTTGGCCATATGACCACAAATCAGTGCCCTTGGGGTCTCAGCCCCCATCATTCAGTGCTAACAGCCAAGTTTCGCATTGACTCTTTGCAGCCAAACCTCTCTAGAACATCTAACTCTTAAGGCCTTTCCAGATTTAGAGTCTCATCTTGTTCTTAGGGAATCTGGTATAATCCACCACTGGGTTATTCCAACAAAACAGCAATGGCTCAGTGTGTGTGAGGAAAATCTTTTGCTTTTCAGGGAGGATAGGAGTTTGAAACCTAGTTAACAAATTTATTTCAGGATGAAACCTAGCATTTATTATTTCAGTGTGAGCGTGAATAGCTTGGCAAAAATGTTTGGTTTTAATTAATTATGCAAATTAAAGGAAAGCAAAAACTGCTTTGCCCTCTGCTTTGATTATGTAAAAGGAATAAAAATATACATGTTCTGCACAAGATAGCAAGACATTTGACACGAAGATTTAGTATTGTCAAGACCTGAAATGCTAATCCTTCTTTTGATGTTTATATTGCTTAGCTGGAAAGGGAGGCAATGCATTATTCATTCTTTGATGTTATGAACGAGGAAGACCTTTATAAGCAATATATAATCCATATTTATACACTCTCTACAGTACTTGGCAATTTTACTCGATATGAGCATGAGGCATAATAAGAAAAATGTAAGAAACATAAAGCAAAATATCAGTAAATAGCAGATGTACACTGTATTCTGGTATGAATAAATTATGTGAGCCATAATGGTTGCAACAGCAGGTGGTGGTGTAGTTCAAGACTCTTTGTGATTCCCCACGTCCTTCCTCAGACTCCAAAGAGTCTGAGGGGTTTGACGCCCCTCAGACCTGGTGCAAATTTAACTCTGCACCTTTAATTGGTGAAAGGCAGGAGACATCACTTGAATATTATTTGCTGCAAACCTGCTGCTATGACTAATTTATGCATATCCATCCTGTTTGTTCTTCCATTTTTCTTCTGTGTCATACATCCTATTTTAATGAAATTACAAATCGAGAGCTCACTGGGGTCGAGATTTTCCTTGCCATATTGCTTTTAAAGATTTGTACAGTGGGGCTCTCATCAGTGCTTGGAAGGTGATAAAGATTTTAAAATTCCTAGAGTCAAACTTAGATCTAATCACTAAAAAAAATATGTACAGTAAAATTTCCAGTGCAATTCAGTCTTTTTTTCCCTTTCTTAATAATGAGCATCATCTTTCAAGTTCTTTAATTTACAAAACAGAATTATAAATTACAAACTAGTTGCAGTTGCATCTTTTACATAAAGATCAAACTCTTTGGAACATGAAAGCGTTTGGTTTAAGTTCTTCCAGGGATGGAATCTGCAGGAACATACTTAAGCAGGTATCTAATCTTTTATATATTTCATGAAGTTTAAAAATGTGAAATATCTCAGTTATATAAATAAAATTAAAAAATAGTTGTTTCAAG